ACCTAAAAATTCGTGCTGCTAAAAGATATTTTCTAACCAAGTAAAATACTTCTGTGTCATATAATTAATATCTAAAAGCAGCATAACATGATTATTCCAGCTATTTATTTAGGTCAGAGAATCTTTCTAAATACACATAAGACACTGGAGGGTACTTGGGTGGCTCAGTCAGTTGAGTGACAACTCTTGATTTGGGCTCAGGTCATGATCTCAGTGTCCTGAGATCAAGTCCTGGGTGGGGCTCTGCATTCAGCAGGGAGTGTGCTTAAGATTTTTTCCCTTTGCTACGCCCCACTGCTGGCGCCAGCACCGCCTGCACATGCTCTCCCTTTCTCTCTCAAATAAATAAGTAAATCTTAAAAAAAAAATACATTACACATAAGACATTGATATTTTGAGTATGTGCTAGTTCGCCTTCATTCTATATATTCTCTATTGATCAGCCTCTTAGAGTCAAATAGGAGTGGACGATGCCTTTTTCTAAAAAACCAAAACCAAAAACCAAACAGTTCTGCTTATTTAAAAAGCTCTTTTCTTCTATCTTCATTTTTTTTCTCTTTATCTTGTTTTTCTTCTGTTCACCTTCTTTCTCACTTCAACTTCCTTCTATGTTTCTCTATGAGAAGTCTGTTTATTTCTTTTTTTCGGGGGCCTGGAGATAGGTAACAGTAGTGCTAGCAGTAATGTTGAGTCCTGGGTCATGACTGGGGCTAGGCTAGGGAGAAGAGATGAGAGTAGCTTTACAGCTTGACTGGTTTATTGTTTTTGAGTTGCACCAATGGAAGGCATCAAAGAAACAGAACATATTTTATTCTGTTTAATATGCTTCAGTAGAAGGCATCCTAATTTTACGTATCATGGGAGAAGGCATATATCTCCAATTCTTTCCCGATGGGTGTGTCAGTAAAATAGGAATGCACAAACATTTGAGAGACAGGGATTGTTATTGCAGGGCCTGCTTGAGTTATAGGGCATTACAGTGCTTATAATAGTGCTTAGGATGCTGTAGCAGATGAAGACTGACTTCTTGTGACTGAGACTCCATTAGCTCTAATTGCTGTGATAACGTATTACCATAAACTCAGGGGCTGCAACAACAGAAACACATTAATTACAGTTCTAATGGTCAGAAGTTCTAAGACCAAAGGGTTAGTAAAGCTGCATTCATTCTGGAGGTTCTAGGGGAGAATTCATCCCTTGACTTTTTCAGCTTCTGGGGCCTGCCCATATTTTTTTTTTGCTTCCATCTTCGAAGGTAGTATTCATATCACTCTGACCTCTGCTTCTGTGGTCACACCTCCTCTCACTATGAGACTCTCTTTCTTGAAAAGGACCCTGGTGGGTATACTGGGGCCACCCACATGGTAGAAGAAAACCTCCCTATCACAAGATTCTTAATCACATCTGTAAATCCAAACATTCCCCATTTACAGGTTTTGGGGAATAGGATGTGGATATCTTTAGAGGTCCATTATTCTTCCAATCACATATCTACTCTACAACTAGCTGCTTGTCTTTTCTTACTACCGATACCAGTCTTAGGCAAATCTGAGTCAGCTGGACTGTAACATTTTTAGTGCTATTTTTACTTTTTTGAAAGCTTTTCCACCTAGGAACCAAAACAACTGTGCTCTGATGATTCTATACAACAATATGGGTTTAGATCCCCAGAGCTTTCTTGATCCATGTCTTTTCTGGGTTTGATGCAGAGAATCTACTGGATTTTGAAATATTAGTGATAATGACTGGTACATTTCTGAGGTATTGTGCCCACCAAAGAAATAAAACAAAACTAATCCTCTGGCTAAAGATCCCAAGTCCACAAAATTCCAACTCTGTCTCTCTACTAAGATCTGACAGTTCTGAGAGCTTGAAAGAGCTGTTAATGTACCTTCTCATGGCCAATTTGTATAGTGTCATAAGAACACTGCACCATCCAAATTAAATGTGACCTACTGTCAACATTAGTCAACACAAAAAAATGGCCTTTCTACTGAAATTTCACAAGAGTGGTGACTTACCCCAAAGAAAAGTTCTTCATTCTCTATCTCCATACTTCCATTAGAGAAGGTGGCATGGAGAGTGTGAGGGGGAATATGAGCTGAAAAAAGGGAGATGACAGACACTAGGCGGTGATTTGTAAGACATATTATTTCCATCCTATGGACAATGGAAAGTATTGAAGGAATTAAAGTAGATGAGGAGAGGAGGGCAAGCTGGAAGGCAAGGCTTATTGGTGGTATTTTGGCTTGGGGACACTGGGTGGATGGCAGCTCCATTTAGTGAGATGGGAAACAAAGGAAAAGGTAGAGTTTGGAGGTAAGATGCAGGTTATGTTGAATTGCTTAGGAGATATCCAAGTAGAATTATCTAACAGGCAGTTTGTGTATATATGTGTGAGGCTTGGGAGAGAGGTTTGGGCTTGCGATATGGATTTATTTCCCATCAGTTTATGGATGATAATTGTGAGCACCATTGGAGATTGTGTACGGAGTTCGAAGATGGCATAAGATAAAGACCTAAGGAGACCTAAGGACCTAAACATTCAGAGAGCAGAGGAAAATACTTGCAAAGACCAAGGAATGGTTTAGAGAGGTAATCTGTAATTCAAAAAGAGTTGACATATTAAAATTTGTACCTATTCTGTGGCTGCTATTTCTTAGAAACACGTTTAATCACAATTAAATGTGACTTGAAAATTGTTTCCTTATATGTAAAATGGAGCCAACGATTCCTTACTGGCATCACAGGGTTATGAGACGATGTATTGTCAAAAATTTTGTAAAGTGTTAACACCAGTGGTTCTCAAGCTCGAGTTTGCATCAAAATCATTAGGAGGACTCCTTACAACACAGATCTGTGTTTCTGAATCATTAATAGTAGTTTCTGATTCAGTAGGTATCAGTTGATTCTGTCTCAGTTGATGTCGCCAATCTGGGACCGCCCTTTAAAACAATTGTCTAATGCAACTGCAAGGAATTTTGCTTTTGATTTTATAGCACAATTCACTGTTTTCCTCCGATGTTGTGTCTATTTTATCTCCTACTCTTTTTTCATCCCTGTCTTCTCCAAAAACAAATGTTGAAACATCTTTACCCTGCTTCTTACCTAGCAATATTTTTTGCGTTTGTGAAAGACAGCTTAGTGCAGTATTTCCTTGATTGTTTCCATTAATGAGCATCGACCTGACACTAGCTTAATTAAGAAGGATAAGAAAAATAGTGATAATTTTTTCGTGGGAAGGAGGAGATAAGAAGGGACTTTTTGGAATAAGAGGTACGATTTTTCTTTTTCGAAGTCAATTAGATGTAAAATGCTATTTATTACCTACTTTCCAAAATCCTATTAGAGAACTTGTAATTTGACCCAGAAGGAGGAGAGTCAGGTAAAAGGAAAAATTGACCTCATTCTTCAGTACTTTCCTAAATCCTGAGAAATGTGTGTACCTCCCCGCTGCCTTTTTCAATCCCACAAAACGGGGAATCAGGAAAACGCATTAGCACCCTAGTGCAGACTAGGAACACCGAGAGGGGAGGAGGAGACTCAGCCCCGTTCAAGAGAGAAGGAAACTGGGGGGAAGGGAGAGAAACTTCCCCCCAGTCGGAGGCTCTGCAGCGCGGCCGTGGGAGAGGAGGGAAGTGGGGACATTTACCTCAGGCGTCAGTCAGACACTTCGCCTCGGGGCATGTGGGAAAGTGAACGAGGAGGGGGGGGAAGGTCACGGTAGCTCCCGCCGCAGCTTTGGAGTGAAGACCTGGAGAGCCAGAGCTTCCTCTGCTTCACTTCTTCCCTCCCGGAGGCCATTTCTCCATATTTAACAGGGATAAAGAGGGGTCGTCGGGCCGAGACTGGATAAGGCAGAGCAGCCGCCTTCCTCACAGCCGACCCCGCTTCGGCCCCCGGCCCAGGCGGGAGACGCGGCCCTAGGGGACGCTGAAGTTACTCCGCGGAGGGGGAGGGGTCGCCAGGCTCCCCTCCAATCACGGTGGCCGCTTCCGCTATTTGCATATATTATGCTAATGTAGACCTCCCGCTCAGCTCAGCTCCCCTCTCGAGCTCTCCGCCCCCTCGGAGGGTCCCCGGCGGAGCCCGCGGGCAGGGCGAAGGTGAATACATTATGCTAATGAGGCGGCTTCCGCCGGGGCTCTGGGAAGGGGGCGCGGTGCCGCGGGAGCCCGGGGCTGGAGGCCCGAGGCCGGGCGCCGCCGGGAGGGGGTCGGGGGAGGGCCGTCGCGCTCGGAGCGCGCGCGCACTCACACGCGCTCACACACACACACACACACACACACGCACGCACGCACGAGCATCCCGGAGGGTATTTAAGGCTCGCACACGCGAGGCTGCGGAGATACTTGGGGCAGCCGCGACTTCGGCGTCGCCGCTCGAATTTGCTCCTTGGGTTACCTGGTTTTCCTCTCCTCTCCCCCTTCGCCGTCTCCTTTGCGCTGCGCTCTCGCGGTGTCTCTCAGCCTTTCTTGCCTGGAACTGAGTCTAGGAGGCAAACAGGTCGGCGTGCGGAAAAACACTGAATAGGCAGAAATAGGGCAAACGAACAGGCGCAACAGGTCGGGTGCTCGGCGGCGGGGGCGAGCGGCGGCCCCTCGCTGCTCCTGTCGCGCTGTCCCTTGGACCCGGGGCGCCTTTCTCGGGGACCCCTTCCGCGGTGTCCGTCCCCTGAGGGGCCAGGAGGGCCATCGGGGGGGTTTCACTCCGGTTTTTATCTTTTTTTTTTTTTTTTTTTTTTGCCACCAGTCCTCGGACTGAGGGTGCTTTTCACTCCCAGCCCGGGAGAGAGAAGAAAGCGGAGAGAGGATGGTCCACGTCTGCTGGTCTCGGCGCTGAGAGCCGAGCCCCATCTCCGCGCCCGGCTCGGTCGCCGCCAACTAGTTGTGCAGCCACCCAGACTGAACTTTGGAGGAATCGTCCTTTTCCCTTCCTTTCAAGATTCTTGGAAGTGGCTGAGAGTGGCAGGCGAAGCCGAGGCAGCTGATCCCTCCACGATGCTGGTGAAGAAGCATGCAGGGAAGGGTGGAGGTCGGGAGCCAGGCTCCGAGAACCCGAGACCCGCCGGGCAGCCTTGTGCCTGGCCCGTGCCCCCGTGCACCGCCCTGGCGGCCCTTCTGTCAGTGGTGGCCGTGATGTCTTGTCTGTACCTGGGGGTGAAAACCAACCACCTCCAGGCGAGGATCGCTGCTCTCGAATCCGCAAAAGGGGACACCTCCATCCATCTGCTTCCCGATTGCCTGGATCAGCTCAAAGCAATGGTGCAAGAGAAAGTGGAGCGACTTCTGGCTCAGGTGTGAAAGGCTGGGGTATTTTTGCACGTGGATAATATCTTGCACAGGCGTGATTCTGTGTACACGACCAGCCTTTACCCTTCCCATATGCATACTTGGTGTGGCTGTGTGTGCATACGCTAGGTGACCATCTATCTCTGCTCCCTGTAGCATATATATGTATATGCACGTCCTTTGATATCACCCTGTCTCTATCATCTATCCTCACTCTTAGTGTTTGCATGCTTTATATATATATATATATATATATATATATATATATATATATAGAGAGAGAGAGAGAGAGAGAGAGAGAGAGAGAGGAGTGAAAGAGGGGGGAAGGGTGGCCAGAATGGCAGGGTGGCATTTTATCTCTTTTTTAGTTTCCTAGAGTGACATAAGAATCTTTCCCAATCTTGTGGAGAATATTCCTTGCAGAGATAACATCGGTTATGTCCTTCATATGTTATAAGAAGGTTAGATCTATAGGTACTATTAATGTACAAATGGTAATCACTCTTAAAAGTGAAATGACCCTATATATGATTTTAGATCGATCATTTCACACATCAAATGTTTTCATATTTTATGTTTAAAAAGAAAAAAACTGTAGCTGTAGCTTATTTTTTTTTTATTTTAATAAAGGATGCAGTGGTAAGGGTGTTTATGAATGCAGAGCCATTGCAGTTGAGAGTTGAAAGGAATCTAGGTTACATTTATCAAAACCAGGGGTGGCATTAGACTAGAGTTAGGGGGTTTTCTGGAGTTTGCTCTTCCAACAGAGAGGCTGTTTGGCAGTGGTTATGGCACAACATGATAAGCACTTGACCTTCATATATAAGATATTGGCTATTTTCAAACCCATAACTTACCTAAAGCTACAACATGTTAAAGCCAAGTTTTTGCATTGACTGCGTATGCTTGAGCTGAGGGAGAAAGAGAAGGGTGGTGGTAGTTGAAGAATGGAGGAAAATATTGTACAAGTCCAGTAGTCTTGATACCATGTCAGTAGTCATTTCTTTTTTTAGGGCTTGGGTACTGTTACCTTTTGACTAAAGTCCAAGTCCATATGTAAAGGTTAGTTATGCAGGCTATCAAATGCTAGTAAATCAAGCATATGGCCAGAGAGTTCCTAAAGAATCCATTTCTCTACCATGCAACTGATGATTATACCTCTTCTTTCCTACAGAAATCCTATGAACATATGGCTAAAATAAGAATTGCCAGAGAAGCACCTTCAGAGTGCAACTGCCCAGCAGGTAAAATGGAACTTCTTTAACAAGGTTTCCTCCATAGCAGAGCATTTTTAAAACAAAAGGCCTGTATCTGTCAAGTCTACCTGTAATAATAGTAAAGAAAGAATGCAGGCCCAACTTACTTTAATAAAATCAACATGTCTCAGTCAAAAGAATGGCAAATAAAGCCCCAAATATTATTTTAAGCAGCATACCAATGCCTGTTATGGGAAAGCAAAGGAGATAATCACCAAGGAAAATATAGGCAAGATGGCATACAAAGACAAAGTTCGTAGATGTACAGATTGAAAAATATTCTTCATTTTTATTCAGTTTTCATGTCTGTGGTGAAAAGGACTGCAGAACATGTTAGATTCTGAATTCCCTGGTGGCCAGTATTACATTAGTACAGATTTCCATTTGTTCCCTTTGACATAAGGTTATGTTAGTAAATTACCTTAACTTCCACACCTGCTTTTGTTCTTTTCTATCAAAAATGTTCTCTCTCCTATCCTATTGCTAATGATGAGGACTGAAAGGAAATTAGTTCTTTATCTTGAGCTTCTCATTACAGACTATTGCGTTCTTGATGACTTCTCAGAAAAAAACTGTTGTATCTTTTCATTTTTCTGTGTAGCATTAGGGAATTCTATTTTTTTTTAATAAATTAATTTTTATTGGTGTTCAATTTACCAACATACAGAATAACACCCAGTGCTCATCCCGTCAAGTGTCCCCCTCAGTGCCCGTCACCCATTCACCCCCACCCCCGCCCTCCTCCCCTTCCACCACCCCTAGTTCATTTCCCAGAGTTAGGAGTCTTTATGTGCTGTCTCCCTTTCTGAGATTTCCCACACATTTCTTCTCCCTTCTAGGGAATTCTATTAATGACAGCATATTAATAGAAGGATAGAGAAGAGAGACATCAATGAATAAAAACTCCTGTGTAACCATTAAATCTACATTCACAAATGTCTGAGTCTTGGTAGTCCATCAACTGTAGCTTTCTAGCAGTGAAAGAACCATTGGAATGTCTCCATTGGAAAACATCTAGTGGATTCAATTGACATATAAGCCATGAAAATCTTCCATGAGTCTTGAGATTTTTATTTCAGATAAATGTTGTTTATGAAAATGAGCATTTTCATTTTTTTCATCATCACTTATAGGAAAATGAGTCTGTTACATTTTCTTTAATGTTCAGGAACATGATACCTAAGATACTTATATATGGAAAGGCTAGGTCCTATATTTTTTCATATTCTGAGGTTTTTCGTTTCTTTTTTCTCCTGATAACTTATTTTGATACGGCTAAACCAGGCACCATGTTTAGAAGTTTCAAATGTCAACTCCTGCTTGTACATCATAAAAATTTTATTATTTATGTTCTGCTACATTGTTGACCATAATGGAGCTGTATATATACATATATTTAAGGAAGCCCTTTCAATTGAGGAGACATAAACATTAGATAACAAGAAAACAAAGACTTAATGTTTGACATTGTAGGTTTCATTCTCGGTCATTTTAAGTTGGGATAGACCTCAGAAGTCAGAAATTCAAGGAAGGCACTTTTCTAGTGCAGGAATTAACTTCTAATAACCTCATCAGTCTGTAGGGATTATTTAAATTCCCAAGACAGTTGGTACAGGACTTCATTGATTATACCACTTAGAGTCCAGAATTTTCTGTGTACAGTATTCTCGTTAGCTATGTGAAAAATAGCTAGTATTTAATTAATAGGATTCTTAGTGAACTTGGTGAAACCACTAAGTTGTTTTTTGTGGTTAAATCTGGTTCCTGGTGTTTGGTGTAAATTAGTTGTTGAGGTCTAATTTGTAATCTGGAGGAAAGCCATTACATTTAGAGTTTATATTGTCTTGAAATATTATTTCGAACCATTTCTTCTTTATGTATTAATTTAATAATAAGTGGTGGTTTTATCATAATAACACATAGATAAATGGTAAATGGTGATTTCCTTGGCTTTTTGTTGGCTCTCACAAATGGCTGCTTTACTTTCTTGCCACCACTAGAGCTCCACATTACATCAAATTTCACCAGGTTACTTGTAAGGTAAATATTTGAAGGTGCACATTCCAGTCAATATGCAGAATCAAATAGGTTTCTTTCTGATAAATCATTATTACAGATATGCTTTTTTTCTGCTTGTGGAATAATTAGATATCATCAAAATAAAGACCTTATGTTGAAAATAGAATCCTAGGGGAAAACCAGTTATTTTGAATTATGGTTAGTGATGTATTGTCTTAGGGAATGAATGGCCTGGCCAAACGGATTAGAAAGGAGATACAGAGCTTCCCACCTGGTTTGGCTTTTACCCTGGTTTGCAGTGACTAAGACTTGTCACCCAGACATCTGTTTGTAGGGCAGAGTGAGACAAGTCTGTGACCTCAGCTCAGTTCCTGTGGACAGATGCCCACCCCTTGAAGTTGACACTCTTGTTGACAGTCTCCGTCATAGAGCCAAGGACTGATAGCAAAGGACTAATGCTGTGTTGTTTGTGTTCACTTTAATTGCTTTTGTTAGAGCTTAGTGTCCGTGAGGCTTATCCAGGTAGGGTGCAAGGAAGTCATAGAATTTATAGATTTTTTTTTTTTTTTTTTTTTTTTACCACAAGAAGGAACTTTTGTGGGAGAGGGATGGGAGACTATAATTGAATAGTTTTTAATTGTAGGGGAAGCACTCTCATTTACTCTTCCCAATAACCTTTGGTAGTTAAGTATTAATAATATCATAATTACAGATGAAGAAACTGGACTCAGAGAAGGTGATTGACTTAGCATAGTAAAGGAGGGTCGGGTTCATGCCCATATCTGACAAAATCAAAAGCAGAAAGTATAATGAACAATAGAGAGTGTATGTAGATTTTGGAGCTGGGCAGAATTGGAATCCTAGGTCTACTACTAAATAACTGTAGGACCTTGGTCAAACTTCTCATGTTCCAAATTCCTCATCTGCAAAAAAAGTGGCTAACACTACCTTTCTCAGAGATTGATAATTTACCTAAAGTGTGACTTCTTAGTGGTTATTCACTAGATGATAGCAGTTATTATTCTTTATAATATATACTACTTAACTCTTATCTGGTCCATGGGGACACATGATATAGGTGGGGAAAAAAGCCCTGGAAATGTATATAGCTTGCCCAAAACCCAATGGCTGGTTAATGGCAGGTTTTGAACTAGAATACTATGCTTAATTAAGGAAATAGATCTGTAGAGAATTCATGCAGATAATCATTTAAGTCAGTATCTCTTAGTGCTACATCAATGGAGATTGGTTCTTTTCAGATATTTATATTAGTCTACTAAATTATTTTTATCAAATTTGAAGGAAAAGCTTTTGCCCTTGTAGGTAGACCATGATTGAAGTAGTTAAAATTTGTGCTTAGAAGAGTATGAAGATATGTCTTTATAGTTTTGATACCAAATGTTTTCTAAAAGAAGCACTTGAACTGACTCATTTTCACACTTATTTTTTAACAGCTTTATTGAAGTATAATTTATATTTACCCATTTTAAGTGTCTTAATTAAAATAATTCTTAAAATAAATTTATAGAATTGGGTAACCATTACTGTATTCTAATTTAAATCACCTTTGTTGACCCCTGAAAATTTACAGTTATTTTTTTCATATGCTGAGGAGAAGCTCTATTTTTTGAATATTTGCTTTAAAGAAACCCTAAAATAAAATTTAAAAAGCCATATAAAGTGGAGCTCTACTTAGGACAATATTTCATTTAGTAAAGCTGAACCATAGAAATTCAGCTGGCATCTGTGGCTTGGCTTCTTAAAACTTGACACTCATAGGAGAGAATAAATTGGCTGTTTGCTATGGCTATAGAATGTTGTTTTGGGTTTTGTTCTTGGAGCCCTACATAAAGTATGTATAAACCAGGCACATTTATAGCAGGGTTTCCATGTTCCAACTGGTAAAGAACACTGGGAGCCAGGCAGCCAACTAAAAGATGTTTAGATCAGAAATGTTTCTGTATCCTACTCATCAGTGGTGTGGTTTGGCCAGGGTATTAGATATAAGAACCTCTGTGTCATAATGGATGGAGAATGTGAATGGGCAGTAAAGAATCTAGTTATAATCCTGGCTTTGTCATTAACATGTTATATAATCTTGGGCAAGTTATTTCCAAGAATGACTTTTATAGACTATTTTCATAGCCCCAAAATAGGAGTGTTGGACTAGAATGGTTTTGTTTTTTTATTTTTTTATTTTATTTTTTTTACTAGAATGGTTTTGAAGTGCATTTGTTGCTTCTCTAGTTATAAAGAGCCTTCTGTGTGTCAAATGGGAGGCTAGATACTAGGAATATGCTGATAAACGAGACACACTTGGTGTCTGCCCCCATGGAGCTTACATTTCAATGAGGATGACAGACATTTGTTTTAAAATGACATGAATTTACAGTCATGACAAGTGCGACCAAGAAAAATAACTATGTGCTTTGGAGCACATGACCACAATTTCTTTCATGTTGTAAATACCAAGGACTTTTTTGTTCTATTCTTTTCTGGCGTGGGGTAGGCAGGTGGAGAAATTCAGCATAGGGGAAATCATGATATAAGAAAATCTCGCTCTTGATTACAAATAAAAGCTCTAGCAATGGATAAAAAGCTGCTTTGCGTTACCTCACCTGACTTTTGGCTTTCCAAGAATTTATGGTCAAATTAGATACCTAATTTGGCTATACTGATACGCAAATGAAACAAAAGAGTGACTTTAATATATAAAGTCTTGTGGTAGATAGGTGATTTATTCTACTACATTTTTTTTTTTTTCTGGAAACAGCAAGATTTGGGTTGAATAAGAGTCAAAACTTCCTGCCTGGTGGTACTGAACAGTGCCAATGGACCTGGCTCCTCTCCATTCACTGATAATGATGAAATGGAGCATGGCTAGTCATCTGTTTGGAAAGTTTATCTAGAGATAATAAAGAGATACTGTAGAACTTTGGAGGTCCCTATATACCCTGCAAGTCTATAAA